GTTCATGTTTGATGAAATGCGATACGAGCTCGACGGAGTTGAAATCGATCGTAACAGAAACGTTGGAATAACGAGCACGATCAAAAACTATGTATCACTGACGACGGAGAAGAGCAAGACGCTGAAATACGCATCGTGGAATCCGGATGGAAATCCGTTGCTCGATGGAAACTTTAATTTTTGCGTTCCGCTCAATACTCTTTTAGGATTCTGCGAGGACTACAAACGGATTGTAATCAACGCTCGTCACGAACTTGTATTGATACGATCGCGCAACTAATAATTCTCTCGTTGGACGAGTCGGTACGAATCCAACGATCGAACTACTCAAGATACAGTGGCGAATGCCGCATGTATCTCTGAGCGAAGTCAAGCTGTCTCTTCTTCGAACTTTGGAAAGCGGAAGATATCTGAGCGTGTGCTTCCGTTCGTGGGATCTGTACGAGTTTCCTCTGCTGCAGAATACAACGAAGCATTCCTGGGCGGTCAAAGCTGCGACGCAATTGGAAAAACCGCGATACGTAATCTTTGCTCTCCAAACCGGTCGAAAAAACGTACTGTCTGAAAACGCTACGCAATTTGACGCTTGTAAACTCACCAATGTGAGACTGCATCTGAATTCAGATTTTTATCCGTACGACGACATGAATTTGGATTTCGACAAGAGTCGATACGCTATACTGTACAATATGTATGCGCGTTTCCGCAAAGCCTATCCCATACAGCACACAAACGTTGAATCAATATCTAAAAAACGTAGAATTGTAACATTATGAATGTTTCAGCAACGTTGCGAAATACCCAGTCAGCACAAAAAGATCCCCTGAATGTACACAGGATATACGGAAACGGATTCTGGATATCCTGTGTACATCATAATACTTCTGAAAGATATCCATTGCAGATCGTATAGATGTTCAAAAGCAATGCGCCGTACATCTCAGGTGGATCCATTATGTATCCATTTGTATATCCAATGTACATACACGAAACATACAATTTCGTATATCCATATTATCGCACTTTTAGCACATCCTATGTACATTTAAAGAACATATATTGTACGTTATATATATGTACTAGGTACATTCATTGCGCATCCACCGTGGACATACATTTTCGTATATAGAAAAATATATATTGTACATCACATGCATGTGCTATATAGTCAGTGTATATCTACGTATATTTAAATATACTAATTCGTTTCCGTATATCTTGTGTACATTCAGGGGATTTTTTTGTGTTGAATGCTGGGAATAAAAGGTTTGAAAAAATACAATGCGTATTTTTAAACTTTGTAATTTTGAATATATATTTTTTATTTTAATAAGTATATATATTTATATATATTATATATATTATGTGTGTTGTTATACATAACATTACATTTTTAATGCATAAATTTTCTGTACGTGTATTGTAAGACTATGTAATGAAAATAAACTAAAGAAATCATATAAAAACGAAAATAAAATTAACATTGTAGCAAAATAGTATTAAACAATAAGTTTTAAAGCTTTAAAATAAAAATTACTATACTTAAATAAAAAAAAAAGAATACTGACAAAGGTGCAGTCAAAAAAGTGCAAATCAAATTTAAAAAATATTAATGCAGTACCAAAACAATTAAATTATTTTCATTTGAAATCTTAAACCTAACTGTACTTTTAATTTTAATAAATGTAAAACAAATAATAATAATGACATAAAATTATATCTTAATCGTTAAGATTCTGGCCCTTTTTCAGACATGACTGTTTCAGAAGTAGAATCTGTTTCACAAACCGAACCTGTTTTACGCACAGTGTTTTCTTTCAATTTTTGTTTCGACTGAAATTTGTTGCTGCGTTCTTTACTTCTAACTAACCAATTTCTTATCACTTCTATAATGTCCGATTCTGTTGCAGATTTTGTCTTGGAGTTCAGTCGAACAACACCTAAAATCATATAGTAAATATAAAGTTATGTGCGTACTTGAGTTCAGCTTTATCACGTAACTGTGGAACGTAACCGGTATGGACAGACCTACGAACTTTAATGCGAAACATCATATAATACATGTATAACAGGATTACAACTTGAGACTTCGAAGCGACTGGTTGTTATGATTTCTTCGTCGCACGTTAAATGATATTACGCATTAATACAGTAACGCAATATTAAAAATATGTCAGACTGATCCATAAATAGGAAACGTATTAAATCAGAAATAGTAGATCAAGTGAAAGCGACAAAGTTATATTACAAAGTTTAAATTAAAATTTTATTTGGTTATTGCATTGAGCATCATTTAGTTACGCAACACAGTTACATTAGGCTTTGCTGAAGAATGTATATGTGATTAAAATTGTTTCGATGTAGAGTATATAAAATAATATATTTTACCAATGATAACTTGGACAAACTTTAACGATTTAAAAGGTTTTTTTTGCCGAGCTCCCTCCCAAGAATATAGCATCCCAACTTCGTTCGAAATTACTCTCGACATAACGCCCTTGATTAGATGGGAAAGATCCGTGCCTCCAATTAAACGCAGTTGATTACTCTAAAATATAAAATTCGAAAAGTAATTTATTAGAAAATAGTTTTCATCATGTAATATAAAATTTTCAAAAATATATAGGATAATTCAATACACACCAATGCATGTATGTTATCAGTTGCATTTGATAGCCATACTTCCATTGACATTAGTTGCTGCTCTGTAATGACTGGAAACGATTGTATTAGAGTCTTAACAGCCATATTAGTGTCATCATTTAGTTCTGGTTCATCAATACATCGGGGTTTTTTTATAAGCATATCAATGCTCCTCATAAGGTCATTTAATTTTAGATGAATAAGATGAATTTCTTTAAAAAATTGTCTTTTGAATTCTGAAAATTTAAAAGTTGAGTCGTATTAAAATATTATACATAAAGGAATATTCAAAAATTACAAAATCAATAATAATAAATAAAAATAATTATTTACCAGCATTTATGTCAGCGTTGTCTGTAGTTTTGAAGTTATCTTAAAATAACAAGAAATATAATCCATTTAATTAATAATGATTATTTAATATAATTGGTTGATATATTAAGGTCAGTAGTACATGAATGAATTCAACGCCGAAAAAGTTTTAAGATATGTATTTTTAAGGTAGCACACCAGGGGGGATTGCGGGCTACCTACCATAAGAATAAATGTAATGATGATTTTTTCTGCTCCGTGTTGAATCCGTTCATGTGCTGTCAGCCTTACAGTGGAATAAATTTATATACTTTTAGAATATAAAACATTAATGTTATCTGAACTGATAATTAATTTTTCAAATCTATATTCAAATTTATATCCATACGCGGCTTTGGACTTAATTTTCTTTAACATATTGATCTAATTAACAATGCAAACGTGCATTTTGATATAAAAATTGAAATTTCAAAAACTCTTACCATTAGTGATATTTTTATCTTGACTTTCCGTTGGAGAGCGATTACTGTCTGTATATTAAATATAAAAAAAATTACTTTTTAAAAATTAAACAAATTTTGAAAAATTTAATTATTTTACCGCGCTAGAAAAATTTAATTATTTTACCGCGTTCAACATGTGTGTTGCCAAAATGTGAAAATGATGGGTACGTGTTACTATCTTCATCAGACATATCACGGTTAGACTCATTGGATTTATCAGTATCTGAGGAATTGTGTTTCTTCCTGTCTTGTCTCCGTTTATGCATTTTATTCTTTTTTTTTGTTAAGATCTCCGTATGTGATGAAAGGTCATCTGTACTTTGGGCTTTGATTGCCTTTTTTTTAGCAATTTTTAAATCATCTAAACAAATTAAAAGTTAATTATTTTTTTTAATACAAATTTTACATAATACAATTTTATAAAAATTTAACATAATATAAATAATATTTACCATATGTGCCTAAAACAATTGCTTCATATTTTATCCATGTCGAGCCAGGATTATGCTTCTTTTTTATTAATGCTTTAATAGCTGCATTATCGTAACTTTTTGATGGCCAATAGCATGCAGATTCTTTTGACAGAAACCATGTTTTCGGTACTGCCTCAACAGTATCTTCCTCTTTGAATCGAACGACAAGCCAAGTCATCTATATGTACATATTAATCAATAGCAATTCCTTAAACTTATAAATGCAATTATTATTAAATTTCTCGAATCACTTGTATACAAATAGAAATATGCCAATTGAGAAAACCTATGATTTAGCAAAGAAATCAAGATCAATAAAAGAATAGAATAAATATCATAACTAACCATATATTTTCAAAATTTTTTCATTATTTTTATTTTTATTTATTTTAATATTTTTATGAAATTATTAAAGGTAATTATAAATGAAGTAGAGGAAATGCAACATATTTATCATTATATGGTAAAACTAATAATTTTCTTCTGATCTTGTCCATTCTCCACATTTTCAATTCAGTATTATATTTTATAATTACTTTAATATCAAATAATGAAGAAAAACATGGCTTTGAATAGAAATCTTTATGTGCAATATATTTGATTCCTATTAAGAATATTTCATTTTGATATGAAGCAAAATTTTGTATTTCAACTATAGTTGTATCATCCAATTCAACAAATCGATCAGCTACTTTTAAAACATTTAAGCAATAATTAATCGTTTTAAGCTTCCTGTACTGCGGAGAAGTGCAATTATTTATCAATGGACCATTAAAATGTTCCCGCAATAATGTTACGGAATTATCATTTGTAGATTGTATTGGTTGCAAAAAATTATTTTCCTCGCTAACTCTACACACAACTTGTTGCAACTGCTGCGAATGCCTACGAATATTCTTTTTTATCTTCTGCATGTAATTTTCGAATGGAAAGGCACTAAATTCATCAAGTGAACCAAACAGGCGCACACAATCACTTAAATGCAATAAACTATGTATGTTGTGTGAAATGAAATCAGGTCCATAAATTGTAATAGAATTCTTAATAAAATGTTTCATTAGATCTTCGGCATAAGAAATATAATTCTCAAATTTTACATAGTGTTTACTTATCAATATCGAGCTTGCTAAACTTAGCATAAGAAAATTATTATACTCTTTCAATGGTATTATTTTCTTCAAAACTATTGGACCTGTGTATAATAAAAAAAGTCTAAACTCGGTTGCTTTAAATCTTTTACATTCATTTATTGGCCGAGTTTTTCTTGCAAATTCACAAGGAATATATTTCTTTAACAGCTGAAGATTGTTGCTAATTTTATTAATACTTGAAGCACGTAATTTATGAGGAGGCTTGCCAAATATCCATCCATAACGCTTACAGCATAACAACCTTTTTGTTGCACCTAATAGAAGAATATGCATATAGTCTAAAGGTACATTGTCAATCATATTAAAATTGGGAATTTGAAGCCAAAGTGTTTCTCCTGTATGATGTTCGACTTGAAGAGTATTTCTAAATGAATGATCTGTTCTTTTTTCATAATTTTCAATTTTATCAAAGCATAAAACATTGTTAACCATGTCGCCTTCTTCAGTACACTGTGTACATGAAAAATAACCTGAATGGCTCTTAACAGATAAAATATGAGACTTAGCTGGGGTATCACAAATTAACATTGAAATTTTGAATTTACATAACACAGATTGTATCATTATTCCATTTGATAGTTCTATACATTCTTCTACAAAATTTTTTAAAAATTCACTAGTTTTAGGTTTTTCACTTCCATAATGTAAAGCTATTATAAATACTTGATTTTTCAAATTTTTAATTGATTTTACTGTACCCAAAATTGGCCAAAAAGAACTTGATGTGCTTTTTGTTAAAGGCAATCCATCAATATTAATTGCGAGACAAAATTCTGTGTTTTCATCAACAATTATATTATGTTTTAAAGTTAAAGAATTTAATGAGTTGCGTATACCAAAATAATGAAATGAATTGTTTAAAAAATTAGATTTGCGAGGTGTTTTTAAAATTGTACGTGGATCAGCTGGTAAGATATTAGTCAAAGATGATTCTTCACGAAGTATATTTAATAATTCTTTAAATGCAGTTAGGCTAATATTTCTATCAATGGACCATTTTCCTAATTTTGTAGTAAGAGATTCCTTAGGCTTTGTAAATAATGGAAGTGAAATACTAGTGTTATTATGTTCTTGTAAATCTTTAATTGCAAGAGAAGAATAATCATTCAATTTCAAATTATTATCTTTACTATTTAATAAAATGTTATTGTTATTTTGAAAATCATTGTTGTCACTTTGAAAATCATTGTTATCATTATTTTCAATCATAATTTCATTATTATTATTTTTCTGTATTTTTTCACATTTCTGATCTGAGATTGTTTCATGA